CCATCCCTCTATGCAACAATCATTTGGATCCAGTGGTGCTATGTCTTCTAGACCATCTTCCAGTGCTCAGGCTAACTCAGTGACAGTCAGAAACACTGGAAAGAACCCTATGGCAGGTAACATCACTCTCTCCCTATCCAAAAATGTCCATGATAAGAACTCTTGGGTCCTAGATACTGGAGCTAGTGATCACATAGTTTGTGAAATGAATATGTTTTTGAGATGCAAACCTGTTCATGGGATCCTAGTCACTTTGCCAAATGGTGAACAAAACCCAGCCACTCATGTTGGTATTGTCAAACTGTCTTGTGGTCTTTTTCTTACCAATGTGTTGTTGGTTCCTACATTTGCCTACAACCTGATTTCAGTCAGTCAATTGACAAAGAGTTCACTAGTATCCTTACTTTTTAAATCCCATTTTTGTTCTGTTCAGGACCTTGTCTCTCAACAGAGGATTGGTTCAATCCGAGTAGATAAGGGACTGTACCTTCTGGGAGATTCACAAACACAGAACATCCATCATCCTTCTTTTTCAACACTTTCAACCACCAACAACCAGGAGACAGATTTATGGCATAGGAGGCTAGGACACCCTTCCATTTCAAGACTTGAAGAACTACAGAAGACACATAGTCATATAGTTTTACCTACTTCTAAACACTGTGAAGTTTGCCACTTATCAAAACAAAAACGTTTGCTTTTTAATAGAAGCTCCAGTTCTAGTGATTCCAGTTTTGATCTTGTTCATGTTGGCAATTGGGGACCAGTTGATGTTGTTTCAATTGATGGCTTTAAGTACTTTCTTACTGTTTTGGATGATCATAGCCGTTGTGTGTGGATTTATATGATGGGAAACAAGTCGAAAGCTAGAAAATTGGTTCAGTCATTTTGTGCTATGGCATTGACTCAGTTTGAAAAGAAAGTTAAAACAATAAGATCAGATCAAGGCATGGAGTTCCACATGCTAGAATTCTATAAAGAGCATGGCATAGTGCATGAAATGAGCTGTGTTAGACCAACACAACAAAATGGAAGGGTGGAAAGGAAACACCAACACCTGTTGAATGTTGCTAGGTCTTTGAAGTTTCAGTGTGGGTTACCAGTAAGCTTTTGGAGCTTTTTTGTTCTACATGCTGCCTACTTGATTAATAGAACCCCCAGACCTATCTTAGATAACAAGACACCCTTTGAAGTCTTGTTTGGTGTTCCACCAGACTATAGCAATTTGAAAGTCTTTGGTTGCCTGGCCTATGCCAGCAACTTGGATCCTGATAAAACTAAGTTTACACCACGAGCAAAGAAGGCAGTGTTCATAGGGTATCCTTTTGGCATTAAGGGTTACACCCTTTATGACCTGGAAGAACAGAAGGTGTTTATTAGCAGGGATGCTTTGTTCCATGAATGAGAGTTTCCTTGCAAGCAAAAATCTGTTAGCACAGATCAGGTTTCCATTCCCATTAACACTGGTCTAGATTTTCAGAGCAATGAAGAAGATGGGTTGAACTCAACCATTACAGACTTTTTCTTTCCAACGGATCATAATGTTCATGAAACCAATGATCCGGATTATGAACCTCAGACACCTTTTTCACCAAATTCATCAGACTTTTCCCCTCAAACACCTCACTCAACTTCCAGCTACCACTCTAAAACACTTTCCACTACTCATTCAACACCTGATCATGGTGTAAGCTTGCCTTCACCAAGTCATCAGGATTTACCCATTGCTCTGAGGAAGGAACCAAGAAATCCAAGACAACCTAACTGGTTGAGAGAGTATCATACCAGCCTACTGGTTACTTCAGCTCAAACACAAGGCAAAGATGTCCTCCACCCTATTTCTGACCATCTCAACTATGAAAAACTGAATCATGCACACAGAGCATATGTTCTGAACATTACCAGTGATCCTGAACCACAGACATATGCACAGGCTTGTAAAGAAGAGTGCTGGAACCAAGCAATAATGAAGAGATGTTTGCCTTGGAGGAAAACAAGACTTGGAAAGCAGTTGATCCACCTCCAGATAAACCCATCATTGGCAACAAGTGGGTGTATAAGAGCAAGTTTCTGGTAGATGGAAGGCTTGAGAGACGCAAAGCCAGACTTGTGGCAAAGGGTTACACACAGGTATATGGAGTAGATTTTTGGGATACTTTCTCACCAGTAGCAAAACAGAATTCTGTAAAAATGTTGCTTGCTTTAGCAGCAGTGAAGAAGTGGCACTTGCATCAGATGGATGTAAGCAATGCCTTCTTGAATGGCTATCTAGATGAAGAGGTTTATATGGCATTACCTCAGGGATTTGAAAACAGACCAGATTTGAAAGGGAAAGTTCTTAAACTGGAAAAATCCATTTATGGTCTGAAACACGCTAGTAGGCAGTGGTTTGTTAGACTTACAGAAGTGTTGTTGAAGCTTGGTTTTGTGCAGTCATATGCAGACTATTCAGTGTTTAAATACACTGGGGGGGGGGGGGGAAGAAGTGTTCTATTCTTGGTGATATATGTGGATGACATGATACTGGCTAGTGATAGCCTGGACTTGATAGCTATTGTCAAAGGTTGGCTTCAAGGAGAATTCAAAGTAAAAGATCTAGGAGAGTTGAAGTATTTCTTGGGTTTGGAGATACATAGATCACAGGAAGGAATTTCTCTCAACCAGAGGAAATTCTGCTTGGAAATACTTGCAAATGCAAGTATGCTTAACAGCAAACCTGCCAAAATACCTTTGGGCATGAAGACAGTTTTATCAAGCCAAGATGGTGATGCATTATCCAAGGAAGATGGAGAAGATTACAGACATTTATTGGGACAGTTGCAGTATTTAACAACAACTAGACCAGACATTGCTTACCCTGTATAGCAGCTATCCCAGTTCCAGAGCAATCCTGTGCATCTTCAAGTCTTGCACCGTGTCATGAGATATTTGAAGGGAAGTCCAGGGCAAGGGCTTTGGTTTTCATCTGATTCAGACCTTATCATCAGAGGGTACAACGACTTAGATTGGGCTACATGCCCAGACTCAAGAAGATATGTCACTGGTTACTGTACCTTCTTAGGCAGTTCTCTAGTAACTTGGAAAAGCAAGAAGCAAGGAACTGTTTCAAGGAGCTCCTCAGAGGCAGAGTACAGGGCACTAGCTCAACTCTGCTGCGAAGTTCAGTGGCTAAAATCATTGATGGAGTTATTTGAAGTGGCACACACACAACCTATACCCCTGTTTTGTGACAACCAGTCAGCGATCTACATAGCTGAAAACCCGGTTTTCCACTAAAGGACCAAGCACTTGGAGGTTGATTTACATGTCACAAGAGAGCGGTTGAAGTTAGGTCTGATCTCATTACATCATATCTCTACTGACTTTCAACCTGTAGATATATTCACAAAAGGGTTGTCCATAGATCGCTTTCAGTTTTTGATGGCCAAGCTGGGTGTACTAGACCAGTACACGCCAGCTTGAGGGGGTGTATGAAGACAGTGATCTCTGCATCACTTGGAGAATTGCAGCAGCTAGCTTAACTCGGTGGAGAAGAAGACGGACTATGACTGAAGGAAATACAGTCTCCACTGAGGGCCGAAACGGTGGCGTATGAGAAAGAGAGTATAAGAGCTGCGCACCGTTTCGGCTAAGCACACACTTAGTGTCTAAACGTACAGCTTTGCCACTTGACAATCAAACACTGGGTAGTTTATAGTTACCGTTATATTAGCTGTTTTTGTACAGTGTTCTTAGATAGTCTTTACTCTTCTTTTACCTAGGTCACAATTGTACAGAGTATAAATTGCTGCTACAGATGAATGATATGGCCATTGAGCCGCATTCCCACAAACCCTAACGAGCTCATTCCTCTGCAAAACCCTTTATTCCTTTTGTAGTGTTTTATCCGATTATAGAATTTCTCAGTCTTCAACGGTGACGGGGGAGAAAGCCGGGTGTCCAGCCACTACGCCACATACTAGGGGAGTCTTCTTCGGTGGCGGGCAAAGAGGAAGACGAAATAGAGGGGATTGGTTTAGGCTAGGTTTAATTTTTAATTGAATTGGGCCGCAAATATTTAAAATAAAATGAGGAATAAATTAGGGGTATGTGAGTCATTTTATGACCTATTAAACAGCTTACTAACCGAAAATTATTTGATAATAGAAGTATTTATTTGTGCAAAAATTTAATATAGAGGTACATTAGTTAATTTACGATAGAAGGTAGAAAATGTTGCTCATTGTCCAAATTTTGCGGGGTCAATAATGCGAGTAGAAGACTTGAAAACATTGGACATACTCTGAAGCCCAATCTGTAGAAACATGGCCCATGAACGACAGAGTTCCTGACGACTTGACGAGGAGAGTACTGGCGGATATGGATAATCTTCGGGCCGGATAGTACGATATCCAATTATCCCGGTTTTACCCAAACCCGTCTGAATCTAGTCTATTCGGGGTTTATCAATTTCGACGGGTCGGGTATCTGGTCGTTTTTCGCCGACCCTAAAAGTAGGGTTGCTGCTGGGTTTTATGTGAACTGAAGGGTTTTGCAGAGATAAACGCCACCACCACCGCTTCTACTCCTTTTCCCGCCCCACTCCGCCGTCCGCTTCTCTCTCTCTCTCTCTCTCTCTCTCTCTCTCTCTCATCTTCCATCTCCTGCCTGTTACTACCTAATGGGGGTTTCTGCTCCTCCGAAAGAGGCGGACCGCCTCAAGACCACTGTCGTATGTCGCCCATGCTTCCTCCCCCTTCTCCTCTCTTCATCCGCTTCGACCGTAAGTCTGATCACGAAGAACTCTGTTTTTCTCTTTTGCAGGACGAGAATGCCCGCATTAGTGACGAATTCGACAGTGAAGGAGAAGCAAGCGAAGGGTCAGAGTTAAGTGAAGTAGCTACTGAAGAGGGTGGTGGTTCTTCGGGCGATGAGGTATGCTGCACATTGTTCTTCCTCTTTCTCTACTCGAGCTGAAGCTCTGTTCTCTGTTTTGAAATTATTGAAGAGGTAATATTTTGCAGGATGCCAGTACCAGCGATGGTAGTGGATTGGATGATGATGATGAAGGTGAAAAGGGTGGCTCTGGAGAAGAGGCTGAAGCGAGAGGTTCTTCTTCTGATGACGAGGTTGGTGCTACTTTGTCCTCGGCTACTCTTTCCAAATCATTTGGCTTCGTTTTAGCCGAGCTTGGGTTTTTTGATGGAGTTATTGTGGGGGTGATGGCAAGTTTATTCAATTTATAGGATGCCTCTGCAACAGATAATGATGGACTAGACAGTGTGGAAGGAAGTGGAGACTCTGATTCTGAGCGCAGTCGAGTCTTTGAAGAGAGCGATTCTTCGGAGGATGAGGTGCTTTGCGTTTCCCCTTACTCCTTCCCGCTCTTCATCTCCCTAATGCATACACATCCCTGTACTTAACTCTAAAGGCGACTCTTCTATGTTCCTTTTCTCTTTTTGGCTGTTTGTTCCGAGTAGGTAGCTCCTCGAAATACAATTGGAGATGTTCCCTTGGAGTGGTACAAGGATGAGCCACATATTGGATATGACATTGAAGGGAAGAAGATAACCAAAAAAGAAAGACAAGACAAACTCGACTCTTTCCTTGCTAATGTTGATGACTCAAAAAATTGGTAAGCTCCTCATTTTATGCATCAGTCTATCATGTCTAGGCACATTCCTAGTAATAGATTGATAATTTTCATGTCACCCTTGGAGTTTAAACATAGACCAACTGGTCAAGATATATTCACTTGGAAGCTATAATTTTATTGATACCTGCCACTTTTCTTTGGCTAGCCTAGGGTTCTATCTTTTAAAGAGTGCAAAATGATTGCTGGTGTTCCATTTGATTGGACCATTTCTTTCATAAGACAATGGCAGCCTGAATTTCCGACTGTCTATGAGGATCAAGCTGCATTTTCTTGCATTGGGTTTATGTGATTAGGTTGTTAGTTTCTGTTTGTTGTCTGGATTTAGATGCGGCTGTGCCAACTTACTTGAGATAGTTGGAAAACTCTCCTAAGTTCTGATAATATGAATGGATTTACTGATTTAATTTCACAAATTATGTAATACTATGTTCATGTGTGATGTCCAGGCGCAAGATTTATGATGACTACAATGACGAGGATGTAGAACTAACCAAGGAAGAAGCAAAAATGATCAGTAGATTGCTCAATGGAAAGGCACCACATGCTGAGTTTGATCCATATGCGGTAGGCATTAGGTTGTATATATTGCTCACCAGACACCATCTTTCTATATATTGCTTGTTTATGGATAGTGGATACACAATATTCAAGTCTGAATAACTTCTGTTTTGTTTCTACAGCCGTATGTTGACTGGTTCAAATGGGATGATGCTATACATCCATTATCAAATGCACCAGAGCCAAAGCGAAGGTTCATTCCTTCGAAATGGGAAGCTAAAAAGGTATTTGTTACTGTTCAACTTATTTTATAGAACTCTAGACTAGAGTTGAAGTTGAATGAATTCAATTGGAACTTGAAATAGCGACTGTACTTGAATGGTATGCTGTTCTAGCATGATTGTTATATATACTCTTCTGTGTGCTCTCTAGGTTGTCAAATATGTCAGGGCTATTCGTAAAGGATTGATAAAGTTTGACAAACCAAAAGAAGAACCCCGTTTCTACATGTTGTGGGGGGATGATTCTGGCGCTGCAGATAAGACTAACCATTTGTCTTACATACCTGCCCCAAAGCCAAAGTTACCAGGTATGAATTGGCCCATATTGAAGGTTTCAGTCTCCTTTTAAATGCATTTATCTAGTGAGGTTAACTGTTTATTTTTAGGCCATGAGGAGTCCTACAATCCCTCTTTAGAGTACATTCCAACACAGGAGGAAATTAATTCATATCAGCTTATGTATGAAGAAGACAGACCTAAATTTATACCTAAAAGGTAATGAAGCTAGTGCTGTGAGCCTGTGACTGGCTCATTTCTTTTCAACCAAAGATATTGCTGACACATAACCAAAATGTAATATTTCCCAGATTCACTTCTATGAGAAGCATTCCGGCGTATGAGAATGCTGTAAAAGACTCTTTCGAGCGCTGTTTGGACTTATATCTGTGCCCTAGAGTCCGGAAGAAACGTGTAAGTAGACTTAGGCATTGATGTTTTCTACTGCATATGATGTGAAGGCAATTGTAGTTGATACATTGTGCTCCTGATTTCAGATTAATATAGATCCAGAGTCCTTGAAACCTAAGCTTCCTAGCCGAAAGGATCTGAAGCCTTACCCATCCACATGCTACATTGAGTATATAGGTCATAAGGGCCCTGTTGTTTCGATTTCAACTGAAGTTTCAGGAGAATGGATTGCATCAGGTATGGATGAATGTCTGCTGCAGATGGTTGTTACTGGAATCACATATAATGAGGTCCCATATATCCGATTCATTATGTTATTCCCTTTCAAGGTTCTACTGATGGGACTGTTCGAATTTGGGAGGTCGAGTCTGGTAGATGCCGAAAAGTCTGGCAGTTTGATGAAGCTGTGCAATTATGTAGCTTGGAATCCGATGCCTGAGCTTCCTATATTAGCAGTCTCTGTGTAAGGCTGGTTAATTATCTGTATTTATTTGGATTTCTTATTGTTTGTGCATCCGAATCAACTACATAATGATTCTATAGGGGTCAGGATGCATATCTCTTGAACACTGGTGTAGGAAATGAAGAGACCCAAAGAAAACTTGGGGAACTTCTATATGTTGAGGCAGCTAAAGTCTCGGATGATTCGAGTAAGTATTGACTTGGTTATTCTAGTCCTGCTATGTGAAAAATGTGTGTACCTGACTTGATCTTTATATTTTCCTGTATAGATAATCCCATATGTAGCTGGATCCAAGATGACGAACATGGAGGAATCAAGCTGAGACATGCTAAGGTAAATTTACTTTTTATTTTATCTTAAATGTTTTGCTTATTTCAGTGTCCATATTGCTTTCTCCTTGTGTCGGGAGAAGTTCCAATCCCTAAATTTCGGAGTTTCAGTAGTGAAGTTGTGCATAACTGAGAAGGTTATTGGAGAACAACTAATTTTCACTAAATCTGACCTTAAGTCTACTCATCATTATCTTTTCTAGTAAATTTGTATAGAAAATTATTGACTTTAGTGAATGGAGTTTTCATCAAACCTTACTCGGGAGGCACTTAACTCATTTACCTTGTATTAGAATATAAGTTGTAGCTGAGATAATGTAAACCAGCTCAAGCATGCGAAAGCTGAATTTGAAAAGAAAGAGAAAATGGATCTGGATGCTTTCCTAGTGTTCTTATTTGATACCTTTTCATTGAAGATATTTGATTAATAATTGGATATTTGAGGTTGGGGCTATGAACTCTCTTGGCTTTATGCTTTTCCTGTTAACGCCTGTATGCAGCTTTTCTCCGTCCACAAACTGAAAAATTGTCGGCACATATTTTGAATAACATGATAGATTATGCTTACTGGTTAAGCATGGGGAATTATCTTCATTGCTCGAAACCAAGGAACAATTAGAGGCTTTGTAGAATATTTAGGATCAGTCTTTCAAATATTTCAGATTCACAGATAATGGCGATCGTAAAAGATTCACCTTATTGAAACAAACCTGATTGGCTATTTTCCCCCTCTCATTCTGGTCTGCTTTGCTAAAGGTTTATGTTTTCTTTTTTGTTGTTTGATCTAGAATGGGATGTCAGGTAACATCTCGCTTTTATGATTATGCAGAAGAAGTCATTCAATTGATTTTTTCCGCGTTCGACCTCATTCTCTTTCTTTTTTGTTATTTCAGACCGTGTCTTCTGTGGAGTGGCATAGAAAAGGAGACTATTTTTCAACTATAATGCCAGCAGATATCCTTTTCTTGCTGTTGTTCTCTCTTGCAATTTTTCGTTTGTATGCCTCTGCTTTCGTATCTTGGTCCTTGAGTTCTGTACCCAAACCTGTTACTTAGATTTCCATATGAATGAGATGTTAAGAATTTTCATCATTTCATGCCATGTCATTTCACGCTCTGATGTAGAATGGCGTTCTAAACGCTTTTTTTTATTATCATTGATACCTTTGTGAGAATCAGAATATCACCACCTAAATTAACCATTGTTTTTCTTTTTCCGAGTTAATCATTCTGAAAATGATAGTATGCTAGATGATTAGATTCGTGTTTCTTCCGCCAGAACCCAAGAAAACAACTAACCCAGCTTTACTATGTCTTTGATCATTGCATTTGCTTGGACTAGGTGGGATGTCTTATTTGTGTGATGATAATCGAGAATGTGTTTCTGAGTTGCTTAAGCGTAAAATGTAGTTCTTTTCAGGTGGAGTAATGTGAATGTACATGATAGTATGTTGCCTTGACTTGCTTATCACGTGAATCAAAATCAGTCATGATACACCAGCTCTCTAAGAAGCTTACGCAAAGGCTTCCATTTAAGCTGAAAGGAATTGCAGTAGTCATCAGTATTTCATCCTACACGTTCCATATTCTTTGCTGTCACAAAGAAGAATGTAAGAGTGTATGATCTGCTGAAGCAGAAATTGATAAAGAAGCTTGAGACTGGTCTCCGTGAAGTCTCATCTATTGCAATTCATCCTGGTGGTATGTTTTGGCTTCGTTGATTTTAACATGGTTGTGTTATTTTGTTTGGTATGTATCCAATATCACCATTTTAAATACATACCATGCAGGTGATAATGTGATTCTAGGAAGCAGAGAAGGAAAGCTATGTTGGTTTGATATGGACCTCTCATCTAAACCTTACAAGATTCTCAAGTACGGGTCTTTTGCTGAACATGCATTATTTTTTATAAATTTCTTTCTGAGTTCTGGTAGTGATATCTACCAGCACTGTGTTCAGAAACCAGAAGTTGTGTGCCAATCGTGTTGATTTGATAATAAAATGCTCCATTCAAATGGATTCCTCCAGTTTTTTATGAGTCCTCTTGGTTTATAGTTTTTTGTGAGGGGATCTGTTTCAATGTTGATGGCCAGCTCTCTGATGGACTACTGTGTTTTATGAGTCCTCTTGGATGCCTCCAGTTTTTTATGAGTCCTCTTGGTATATCGTTTTTTGTGTGGGGATCTGTTTCAATGTTGATGGCCAGCTCTCTGATGGACTACTGTGTTTTGCTAGGTCTCATTCGAAGGACGTTACGAATGTTGCATTCCATCGTTCGTACCCACTGTTCGCATCATCTTCTGATGATGGCACTGCATATGTCTTCCATGGGATGGTGTACTCGGATCTTAATCAGAATCCTCTGATTGTTCCATTGGAAATTCTTCGTGGGCATACAACCTTTAATGGAAGAGGTTGGTACCTTTCCCCTTCACTGTTGTACTTGCAGTCAATTAAGAAAGAAATTTGTCACTGTTCAATGAAATTCTGGGTAGATGCACATTATTGCCAGTCAATTGTTTCTTGATTCCCCTTCAATTTGCGATGAGCATGGAAGTGAAAAACAAGGCCTTTTCTTATTTATATGACTGGTAAAGATGCGAATCGACTAAATAATGTGTTGTTATTAGAACCATAAAACTAAAAGAAAAACAATTCAGTTGCTTGGAATGATATGATGTAGCTTCTGATATCTAATATGTTATTAGAACCAGAAAACTGATCATCTTTAGAATAACTTCTATTTCTGATGAAGCTGGATTGAAAAAAGTCGGTTCTACATCCCTTTACCTATTGGTTAATTTTCTTTGTTTGTCTTGCTCACAATGTTGCAGGAGTAATGGATTGCAAATTCCATCCGCGACAACCTTGGTTGTTCACTGCTGGTGCTGATTCGTCGATCAAGTTGTATTGCCATAATTAAGGTACTAGGTACTGCTGCTGAAGAAATTATGGCCAGGTCGGTGTACGCAGAAGTTGTGTATGGAATTCCCTACGGAGTCCTGTTCCTGATCGGTAGACGCCAGGTCAAACAAACTTCAGAATCTGTAGGGCAGCTCCTTTCTTCCATGGTTTGTCATTGTGCTCTGCATTGCTATGGAGAATAGGTACGAGGAGGGATTTATGTCAAAGGATTCTTGGATCTAGAGGCTCGCCCACGCTTGGACCTAGAGTTTTGTTTGCTTTACTATTTCCCTGAAATTCCAGTCAAATGAGATGGACTTGGGAGTTGTAAGTAGAGTGTGGAAGGAATAAGGCTAATTTTCTTGTTGCGTCTTTGGGAAGGAAGTAAAAAAAAAAAAAAAAAAAAACGAGAAAGCAGACCCAAGGACACTTTAGACAAAAGAAGAAAATATCTAATTTTGTTTGTTTTACGTAAATTTCAATTGTATTAGTGTTTGAGCCTAGAATGTACTAAGTGGTTATGATGCTCCGATTTGAACTCCCTCGTCGGATTTCCTCGAGAGGAAGAATTTGTGAGGCGGGGGCGGCCTTGAAATCTACGCTTCGATGCCCAAGTTGGTACGATCTAGGAGAGGATGTATGATATGTAGAGAGATAAAGTAATGAGAGAGTTTAGAGAGTGAACCATAGGTGGAGAGTGTCGGAAGGGAAGAGAGCCTTCTTGATGTTGCCCCCTAGTAGGAGGCGTTTCATCTTCTAGCTTGCTAGTTCTTTCTTCTAGCCTGTTAGTCTTTCTGTTTCCTTTGAAGCGCTTTAGTATTTCGGCTTTCTCGGAATTGCTTAAGTATTTTGGTTTTCTGAGAAACGCATTAGTCTTTAAGCTTTCTGGGAAGCTTAGTATTCCGGCTTTCTGAGAAGCGTTTAGTTCTTCAGCTTTCTAGGAAGCTTAGTACTCCGACTTTTTGTGAAGAGCATTAGTCTTTCAGCTTTCTGGAAAGCTTAGTATTTCGACTTTCTGAGAAGCGCATGGGAAGAAATGTCCAATCACGAAGAGACCTACTTTTGCCAAATACACATAAGGCTCCTATAAATGTTTGATATCAAAATCAAAATCACTATAATGAGTATGGCTCGATGCAATCTCTATATTGAATTTGAATTCCAATGTCGAATACATATGTATTCTCATGTTCCTCGAGCAATTAAGCTACCTAAGAAAAATATACGATCAAAGGGAAGAAACATCCAGTCACGAAGAGACCTTCTTGGCCAAATAAACGTAAGACTCCTGCGAATGTTTGACATCAAAATCATAATCACTGTAATGAGTATGGCTCGATGCAAACTCTATAACGAGTTTGAATTCCATTGTTGAATAAGAATGTGCACAACTTGCTCACAATCATGTCTTACCATTTGAAGAGGACGAGGAAGCCGAAGAGGCAAGCCCTAAGGACATTGAGGAAAAGAAAAACTCATCCCGGAGAGCTCTCGTGATGAGTATGAAGAAGAATAACCTCATTTGGCATCTCACACCTCTCCCCATCATACGAACAACTTTGAAGAGCAAGTCATAAAGGAGGAGGATCAATATGACCTTAACAAGAACCTTGCATGGCAACTTACCCTCCAAATCGTGCTTGAAGACTTGGACGGGAAGGTGAAAGAAGAGGTTGAAGAGGAGGAAGTGAGCATCAAAGAAGTGTAAACTCTTAAATATCTCCAAGGGGAGCAACAAAATTTTGAATAAGGAAGTGAGGTTGAGGATGCAAATAGTGTCCAAGATGAGGACGGGTTTGTGGTGGATGAAGTTTCAACAATTTACAAGTGATACCAAATCTTTCCACCCGACCTTGATGTGTTACTCGAGAAGGACCCATTTGAGGCTGTTTGCCAAGACAATGTCAAACCACCATCGATCCCTTTTGGTGGATGCGATGGTGGTCAATCCATGATGTCCTACATGGTATGGGAAAAAGAGAAGAAAGAAGAAGAGGTCTCGTGGGCGGAGCCTCAATTCACACCAAGTTCACGATGTGTGAGTGTGAATTAATGGTGTGAATGTGAGTGCCTGGAGCCTATTTTTGTATACCCAAATTTTAAAATTTAAGGACTCCAAGCACATATGTGAATGAATGATATGGCCTATCTATTGAATGCCTTAGAGCCTTGTTGAATGCCCAAATTTTTACAATTTGTAGGCTTCGAAACTTGTGATTGAATGAATGATTATTGGCCTACATTGAGGCTCATATGCTCAAGTCATCCCAAGATGTGATCGAGAGCAGAGGTCTATTGTTCAACCAACTTCGTGTCTTGCCACATAGGGATTAGGGAAAGAGTATCAACCAAAGAGCTTCTTACGGTACTCCGTTAATTTTCAAACCATCCGTAAGCTCACAGAATCTGTTGATGTGCTCCCTTGGGGACTCATTCTCCCTTTGGATAATGATGACGAGACCGGTCTTGATCTTGAAATTAATGGCCGCCATGGGAGGATGTCAGATGCTTAGTTGGATGTCCGTCACTCATGGGGTCATAAAATATCCCATAGTCATTCCTTCATCACCCTTTTGTGCGACTTCGTTCTCCATCGCAAGATTTCTTCAACTACAAATTCTTCTTCAAAATCAAATTCTTCCTCAACTTCAATTTCTTCCTCAACTTCAACTTCGGTTTCAACATGAAGCACAATTATTTCAAATATCAACCCGAGCGATCTATATACCCTTACTTCAGCCGTCTACAAGTTATCTAGCAATCAAGTTGTTGTTAAAGCTAATAAATTAAACAAGCAAGTAATTAAAACGACATTGAATTCAATGGATAAAAGTTCACTCGAAAGATATTTCCCCTAGTCTTGTGTTGAGGTGCTATTGTGATACTCCAATGTGATATGTAAGTTTCATATACTGTTAGGAGCACTAAAGTAGCTAGGTCCCCCTATTCGAGTGCTTCCTAGCCCGCTTAATGGATCTAATAGGATGGGCGTACCTCATACCCGCAAATATGAATAAGGCAACCGATTTGACTCCCTCAAGATTAACCCGCAACTAGAGAGTCACCAATCAATGATTCATGGCACTCTAGAACTTTCCCTTCAATTTCAACTCACTCTCCTTTATAAAGCATGCGAGTGCTGGAATGGGCCCATCTAGTTCAATGTTTGGTTATGCATAGATAATCATTGCTTAGAGTAGGTGGGATTGATACTCCTTGCTTTGCTCTTCTTCCATTGCTCTACTTTCTAAGCCACCTAAACTAGGTTAAGTTAGGGCAACCCTCAATATTGAGTTAAGCAAGTCGGTTAATCGCGATTAAGCCGTCCAACCTTAGAGTTGAGTGAGGGAGTAAGTCAACTACCGATTGTCTAAACGGAGAGGGTCGAGTGACACGGCCTTTCATGCTTACCTCGATTTAGCAAATGAGATTGTGGTCTCCGACCACATATGCATCCCTCTGCGGTTCGCGGTTACCAGTTTGCATCTAGGTTGGTTGTGATTAAGCCGCTCAAACTCCAGTTTGAGGGAAAGACCTAGGAAACAACTAGAGCCTGAGTCAGAGGATCGATCTCGTGACAAATCGATCCCTAGCGAATCAATCCCGTGACAAATGGATCGCTAGTTGCTCCTCCTAGTGGTTCCCCTAGACTTGATGAGTGGTTCGATCTCGTGACAAATCGATCGCTAGTGAATTGATGCCGTGACAGATTGATCAGTAGTTTCTCACCCCGAGGTTCACAACCACCTATGCCTCACGACTCCATTCAATCCAACGAGTCACGATAGCTAGGTAGGGTGAAGCTCCTTTAGTTAGAATTTTCCTTTATTTACTTTTTTTACTTGGTTAGTTTGTAGTTCCAATAAACCTAAACCCTAAAGTTGCTTGCTAGATAACAACCTGTGCGATTGAAGTAGGGGTACATGGATCAGCCCGGGTTGACAATTTAAATACTTGCTCTATACTGCACCCGACTAGAGTTTAAGAACTTGGGCTCTAGTTGGGAATAATTTGTGGTGTAGTTTCGTGCGAGTCAAGTTTTTGGCACCATTGCCGGGGAACCGCCGTCCATTATTTTGAAAAGGTCGCTTAGTGTTAATCTAGCATTTTCTATCTTGCCTTTTTGTTTATGTTTTGCGTTTCTTGTTGAGTTTTGTTTACTCACTCTTCGTCTTGAAGGGTGGTTTGTGTTTGTTTGATTTTGTTTTTGTTTATGTAGGTTGAATCATGAATCCCAATGGCTTCTACAACTTGTGGGGATTTCCCAATGGTACCCCAGAGCTTCGTGGAGTAACCAAGAAAGTGGAAACCAAGGAACCGGGTTCTATGATCAACCTCCCTTCCACGAAGAACAAGCATACCATTGGGGATTTCAAGAAGCTCCCCCATATGAAGAAAACTTCCCTCCTCAAGTCGAGGAGAAATCTAAGTTCAAGTTGGCAATGGAAGCCTTCATGGGAAAGTAGCATGTGCCACTCCACAACCGGAGCCAACGAGTAAATTAGAGCTCATGGTGGATCAATTTGCCCGAGGTGCCGACGAAGGATGCTCCAATTCGGATCTTCCCATCGCCGACCCTTTCGAATCAACCTTTCTTCAGGAGGCGGAGGAGCTCCGTCGGTGCAAGGAGAGGCAAGGAGAGCTTGTTGAGCAAGCATGTGCACAACTCTCTCACAATCACCTCCTACCATTGGAAGAAAGAGAGGAAGTCGAATAAGAGAGCCATGAGAAATTTGGAAGAACGAGCTCCGACATGGATTTCCAATCCCTCCCTCTTTCTGGTTTGACACTAGAAGAGAAAGTGGAGGGATGGAATAGACAGGCAAAAACCGTTGACCCTACGATTAACCCTTGTTGCTAGTAGGAAAAGACACGAGCTTGTGAAAGCTATCGCCTATCATTATTGGAGGAGAAAGAGGAGGTTGAAGGAGCGATCAATGACAATCGTGTGGAGCAAGAAGAACTCACCCCGGAGAGCTCCTGTGGTGAGGATGAACAAGAAGGTTGCATTGATGACTCCCATCACTTTCCCCTTCCCGAAAGCAACATTGAAGACCAAGACACAAGTTTGGAGGAGCAAGAGAATCCCTTCTATGACCCTGTATTGCATTTTTCCCTCAAATTCGTGTTTGGAGACATGAATGGGATGGAGAAAGAAGAGGTTGAAGAGGAGGAAGAAAGCATTGAAGAGAGGGAAGATCTTGAGTGTTCCCAAGGGGAGGAACAAAGTGAAGAAAGAAGGGAGGTTGAAGAAGAAGTAGAAGAAGCAAGTGAGGTCCAAGATGAAGACGAGGTCGTGGTGGATGAAGCTTCCACAAGTTACAAGTGTGAACAAAGCTCTCCACCCAACCTCGATGCGCTTTTGGAGAAGGACCTATTTGTGGCTCTTTGCCAAGCCAAGGCCAAACCATCGACGATCCCTCTTGGTGGATGCGATGGTGGTAAATCGATGATTCACTACATGGTATGTGGCAAAGAGAAGAAGGAAGAAGGAAAGAAAAAGAGGTCTCATGGGTGGAGCCTCAAAGCCACTCAAGTTCACGAGCCCTCAATCATGGACACGTCCAAAGCTCGTGACTTGAGACACCACCTCACCGACGAGAACCTCAACTTCAAGGAGGTTCTTGGGTGGACAGAAACTTGAAGAGCAACCGTCCAACTTACGACATTAAAGAAGCGCTTGGTGGGAGGCAACCCAACCATTAACGGTTTGTGTAGACACCACATTTTGTACGGGCTCAAAAAAGGAAAAATTAAATCGATGAATTAAATATAATGCTTTGAAGGAGTTGGTTGAGATAAGCAATGGCTAGTCAATAAGTACCAATGACTCC